AAAAACTAGTGTTTTATTATTAATTTGCTTTACAATTTGAATAAATTAATCAAAAGAATTAAAATATCCTTGATGCTTAAAATAGATAATAGCAGCAGATTCGTATAAATCTTTTAATTCTATTGAATTAAATGGATAATTTTCATATTGAATAGAATCCTTTAGTACATCTTACTTTTCATTCAAACTTTGAAAAGTCTCTTAAATTATCTTAATCAATTATTATTCCTATTTAAATTCAAAGATGCCTTTTAAATCTTCTTATTTATAATTTGAAAGATTCTATTATTTATGTATGGTTAAAGTTTAAAACCCTTTTTATAATCGATATTATTTGAACAATTCTATTAAAATAGCTTCTAAAGGTGTTACATCATGTTTTTATTTTATATATTATTGAATAAACAGTTAAACCTTCTTTAAATCCTCTTTATTTTCTACATATTAATCAGATACATCAAGATTTCGATCAATTTAAGTTTATGGATCAATATTTTTTTAATTTTGACAATAATCAATAAATTTGTATTTAAACTATTCAAATCCTTATTAAAGTTCTTTTTCATATATTTTATAAGGCTTATTTGATTCAAAAAAATGAAAAATGGATGGGATATCATGACAAAAATTAAAAATTTAAGTAATTAGTTCAACAATTTACATTTAGTCTTCTTTATTTTTATTTAATAAAGGAAATGAATAAAATAGTTGATAATCTAAAACTGATAGTTTCAATAGTTCTAATCTTTGATTATTTTCTTAATTGAATATTAACCAAATATGATATTAATTGATTTTTTCATTTTCATAATTCAGTTTTTCTATTAGAAATATCAATTTTTCAATAAGTTTAAATACCTATCCATGTAACAATCTAAAAATAAGAGATTACTAAAATGTAATTCTATATGAAATACAGTATATGAAATTAATTCGCTCAAAGGAATACAATGGACTCTATCAAATTCCAATTTAATTATGTCATTCATTTCTTCTTCTTGAGAACTTACAATTCTTACACAATATGGCAATGTAGCCATTAATAAATCAATATCAACCTCACTCTTTTTATAATACTGATGGGTTTTTATCTTGAGAATGTTCATATTTCAAAA